TATTTTTTTTTCAATTTAAAATAATGATGCAATATTTAGTTTTTCTGTACATTTGCTTGCTTATATATTAATTTGAATTAAAACATTCCAGTAAATCATTTTCTTCAAAGATTAAAGTGCAGACTTGCTTGTATTTATTTTGACAGGTGCAGCCAAATTCCCCTGCAGAGAAGGCTGGCCTGCAGCCCTTCTTCGACTTCATCCTGTCTCTTGACACCAAGAGACTTGTAAGTTTAATTACAGCCATATAATAACAATTGCATTTACTGGTTATTCACTGCGACTGTAGATAAATATGATGAACATGAAAAAAGAAGAAGGTTAACACAGCTGGTTGCTATAATTGTTGTCTTCTTTAATTATTCCACACCAGAATGAGGAAAATGACCTTTTGAAGGAGGTTCTGAAAGCCAACGTGGAGAGAGCAGTGAAGATGGAGGTGTACAGCACTAAAACCACGAGGGTTCGTGAGCTGGAGGTGGTGCCCAGTAGCATGTGGGGAGGGCAGGGTTTGCTGGGCGCTAGTGTTCGCTTCTGCAGCTACCAGGGGGCCAATGAAAATGTTTGGCATGTCCTGGTGAGTTGCGTCGTCAAAGAACTACTAAAACGCATTGTGCTTCACTGTAGTCTCAGCTTCTGTAGCTGTGAGTCCATTATGGCTTCATCTTTTGTTTCTGTTTTCTCCAAGGATGTGGAAGCCAGTTCACCGGCTGCACTGGCGGGGCTTCAGCCCCACAGTGACTATATTGTGGGAGCAGATCAGGTTTTGCAAGATGTAAGATGTCTTATTAGAACCATGCAACATTACTTGTGGCATGAAAATTTCGAATTTGCACCTTCAGTAGTTAATTCAGGGTTTGTCATTTGCAGTCAGAAGACTTTTTCTCACTGATTGAGGCCCATGAAGGAAAACCTCTGAAGCTGCTGGTGTACAACACACAAACGGACCTATGCAGAGAGGTGGTGGTCACACCAAACGGAGCATGGGGAGGAGAGGGCAGGTATGGCCAAATGCAGCTGACAGTATATAAAAGATGGATGTAATCATTGTCATGTCACCCGGTGGTTTCTGGACTCCACATTCTAACGCGTGTTAGTGTTTTCCCCCCCACTATTTTTAGATTTTTCTTTGATGCAGATGCACCCTAAGGCCCAGGGGCCATATTTTTTTTCAAAGACTCAGATCCGATCCACTGGAAGACATACATTTTAAACTTTTAACTGTATTTTCACAAGTTTTACAGCTTTTCCTATCTCACTTATGGCAATTTTAACTAAACCAATTAATAATTAAGTAATAAATAAATGCTTCAATCAAAGAAAAGTTCCTGTTTTTTCACTTTATGATATAAAAATTTCAGGGTTTTTTTTACAAGGGGCCCACACTAAAGAAAAACAAAACCAGAAAAATGTCTGTGAAGTTTTCTCAGTCATCCAGGTCATTGTAGTCTAAGGAGCTTGGAAAGAAAATTGTCTAGACTTCTGGACTTCCTCTACCTTATCACATGAGCCCAGGTGTGAGAACGGGGTTTCACAATGAGCTCACCCAATACCTTGACTGATTGTGACCTACGCACGTTTTCACACCTTGGCTCATGTGATTAAGTAGAGGATCATTAGGGTGTCCATTGTCCCTCTCGGGGGCACACTCCCACCAGGCTTAAATCTGGGACTCTCCACCTTTTGACCCTGCAGCTGAAGAAGCTTCTCGGATGAGAGGTGAAACGTCTTAAAGCCACTTAAAGAAGTCCAGACACTTTTCTTTCCAAGCTCCTTAGAAAACCAGAAAAAAGAACATTTTTTGTGACATAACAAGAACTTTCAGTTTAAATTACAGGATAGTCAGAGCAATGAGCTAGTAAAACTTTTTCTGTAATTTAAGCCCAGAGAGTCATGCTGACAGATTTCATTATAGTGTAGAAAAACAAGGACAAACTGTTGAACTTGCACTATATTTTCTCATATTTATTATTTACACATTTATTATATATGTAGTTTACACCAACAGAAAATGGTCCAGCCCACTGTGGGCTATCAGGCTCACATCCCTAAAATAAGACATTCCCAGAATAGGGTCTTACTTGGTGATGGTCTTGCATGTTGCAACTATGATTTCATGTGTAAATTGTTAATCAGTTGTTGTATTATATCTTATAGCATCTGCAAATGTTTGTCTGCAGTTTGGGTTGCGGTATCGGTTATGGCTACCTGCACCGAATCCCTGCTAATCCAGAAATATCAACAGTCGAGCCTTCTGCCCCTGATGTTGAGGAGAAACACTCTCCAAAGCTGCCTGCGCATGGATACACAGAGGTGACAGTAAAATACAGCAAAATCTCACATTTGAGAAGCTGACACAGGTCAATAACTTTCACCGTGTGCGTGTGTCTCCAGGCACCTCTCATGGCACCTTCAAGCAATAGTGAAGAGTTAAACCTGGAGCAGGTCACCCTCGAGGACTCTTATCTACCTCCACCCATTCAAAGGGTCACCGAGCTTGGTCAGTTAAGATTCTGTTCACCTTAGCATATGCTGTGTTTGCAAAAATCTTCTTAAGATGTGTGTTTTATTGTTGGAATTTTCCAGGTTTTTCTGATTCTGAAATGGCAGTGATGAACCCCGATCCTTCAGACTTGGTGGACAGGCTGGATCTGTCCATGTCATCCATTGACATGACAAACACCTCGCTGGCGATGCACGAGGAGAAGGAAAGCGAGATATCTGGTGTTGGTAAGTCAGTGTGGCAGCTGTTCATCACTGTCCAGTGACTTTCATGCATCAGTTTTAAGAAATATATTCAGTTTCATTTATATAGGTTCAAATCAGAACAACAGTCACCTCAAAGTGCTTTATATAATAATAATAATAATGGATTGCATTTATAGTGCTTTTCGAGACCCTCAAAGCGCTTTACAATTCCACTATTCATTCATTCTCACATTCACACACTGGTGGAACCACAGCTGCCCTGGGGCAGACTGACAGAAGCGATGGCCCCTCTGGCCATCACCAGTAGGTGGTAGGTGAAGTGTCTTGCCCAAGGACACAACGACCAAGACAGAGAGAGCTGGGGATCGAACTGGCAACCTTCCTGTTACAAGATGAGCCTCCCAACCCCCTGAACCACGGTCGCCTTTTAATTTGGGAAAAACTTGAGGTAAAAACTTAACAATAATACACAGAAAACCCCAACAATGAAACATCTATGAGCAAGCACTTGGTGACCGTGGGAAGAAAAACTCTTCTAACAGGAAGAAACCTCTAGTATAACCAGGCTCAGTGAGAACTAGCCATCTGCCAATGAAATATGTTGTATGTTTAATATAATTCTCTCATCCACTTCTGTTGAATTCAACCATATTTGTTTTACTACAGAAGAGTTGGAGGACAGTGTTCTGCTCCCATCATTAGTAGACCACCAGAATGAGCAACAAGAGCACATCTCCCAGGCAGCCAGAGACTTCACTCCTGCTCTCTTGTCTGCTGATTCAAGTGTCCCACCAGCTGGACTCTCCCACCTGCTCACAGAGTGTGCAGAGCCACAGAGCTCTCTCATTGAGTCTAGTGATAGCCAAAGTCCAACTATAGGTGCGTTGTCTTTTTCTCTTGAGCCTTCTGTGCCCGCTGAAGACCTTCCTCGCTCATCTCCTGTCCATCTCATCCCATCTCTGGTCACCGAGGAGTCCACCGCAGACAGGTCTCCACCTCAGGCCATCGAGGACACTCTCGGGTCAGTGGATGAGATCGCAGAGCCTCTGCATGTGGCTTCTGCTCACCACTGTGACCATGAGCACGATGATGAGTAGGAACCCAAGAAGGCACATTTTGAGTAGGCTTAAGTCAGGCCAGACAAATGCAAAGTGTCGACGACAATCGTTTTGTTTTGTTTTTAAAGAAATGATTTTTAGGATAGATCATCAGAGGGAAGACTTTATCTTGTCAGTCTGTCTTGTTTGCATGGAAGACTGCGTCAGCAGATTGGTGACACTACATAAACCAGCTACAGCATTAATGCAGAAGATGGGTGAGGAAAAGGCACTGTAGTAATCTTCTGTGTGTTTTGTATGTGAGAATTTAGTTACTGCTTAGTTGTAAGCCAGAACAGTTTTTAAAGGTCAAACTTTTTCCTTCCGAGTGCAAATTTGGATCATACGGGTAATGAGACTGCTTCTGGTAGGCCGATGTGACAAAACTTGAATTTTTCCAAAGACAGACATTGCAAAGCACAGCTGCACCTTTATATCAAGGACAATTATCAATATTTTTTTGAAGTTACTAGACGGTTGGCCACTCAGATTAGTCGCCATAGTCTTTGGCGGTGGTGCAGTGTTACCTTTAATGTTTTGAAGCAACGTCGTTTAAACTCTTACCCAAAGAAACACTTTTAATTATAAGACATGGGACATTTTACTTTATATCCTCCAGATTGGTGACACTACATAAAGGGCTTTCACTGTGGGACGATGCTGAATAGAAACAGCACAGGTTTTACTTTTGTTTTTAACACTAATATTTAATTAGATTTTGTTCAGTGATGTACTTTGTAATGAGTCTAAAATGGATGTTTACTGCTGTATAGCCAGATTTATGCCCCCTTTTAATTTCCATGACCTATGCAACACTAGATTATACCCACCTTTCATTTCATAGACAATGCATTGCTAATGTAAAGTAAGCATTTAATTAAATCTAAGACTGCCAAGTTAGTAATACTTGAGTAATTCACTTTTGTTTGTTTGTTTTTTTAGGGGCATCTTAATAGTTTTCATTGGTCAAGTAGGTGCTAGTGTGTAAAATAAGTATTTTTTGCAGATATTTTTATCAATGAATTGTCTGTTTTATTAGGAATGAGTGCAAAGTCTTGATGAATGTGAAATGGGTGAATCTTCGATGGTTAAACAATCACTGGGAGAAAAAAAATGAGTCCCTCGTTTCTCTTATTTCACTTGGATCAGCTCAACACAACTCGAGACAGCCATTTATAATCCTGGTAAAACCTGTCATTGTTAAACCATTCCAATTTATTTCTTTGAATGCCTAAAATATACATATTTCACAAATGATTACAATAATGGATATTGCAGAGTTATGGCCTGATTATTTGTACCCATCTTGGATTTTTATTTTTGGCCAATTAGAGCTCACTCAATGCATCCTCCCTCCTGCTATGGCATTACACACACTCGTGGCAAAATTAAACTCCAGGAAATTACAATGAAAAGATCTGTTGTTGTGGCTTGGTGACACACCAAGCGACAAGATGTGTTAGCATTTATTACACTTTGGTGAAGTTCCCACAGTGGCTGAATGTTCGTATGTTATCTCAGATGAGATTCCCCTTCAAGTTAAATTTATGCTCCACTGAACTCCTACTGAATCTAAATGAAATATACATTAGGAACAACCCTCGCTGTCATCAGAGTCCATGCTCGTGAACCAAACGCAGAGCATCTAAGCATGAATTACTGTTTAAGATATATACCCTATATATAATTTCCCCAATTGCTAAGATGACCTACACAAATACTAACTGCAAGTTTTAGATTGCAGTGAAATCAACAAATGCAAATCTTACCATTCAAGTCATTTAGCGTTCATGACCATGAATGTGCTGCAGGGATTTGGAAAAATAATTTGTGTGTGTTTTGCTTTTTTAAGTAAACTGTACAAAAACAAAAAGAAAACAGCTGCAAAACCAAAAGAAAAAGTAATTTAAATGAAAAATGTTGTACATATATTTACAAAATAAAGAACATTCATTCCTTTGAGGATAACACCGCTAAAAACAAAAGACAACGTGGACTGCTTCTGTCGATGAGGTTCAAGCTCTGCACTAACTGGATGTCTAAGCCGAGGTTAAGTTCAAGTTAATGCAGACGACGTCGACTACAGAACAGAGGGGTTTTTTTGTCTTTGAGGGACTGTGAGGCTACCCAGAGACCAAGTGTACTCCTAAACTGGTGATACTGCTGAGACAGGACTGGAGTGTCTGTAGAACAAGGACAGTTTCCTGGAATGTACTAGAACAGACAGTCTACTACATCCGTGTGCATACATACACAAACACGCACTGCAACTTCAGTCGCTTCAAAAATAAAATGCCAATCAGGAAAGGGTGGGCAGGGACAGTCAAAGATGTGAGGAAGAAGAACAAGGAAAAAAAAAAGGATGCAGAGAGGAGACATTTACGTCCAAACTTAAAAAAAACAATATGGACCACTTATTTCCCAGGTGTCTGTTGGCTGCGCCGGCCTGTTCTTCTCAGTTTCCTATAATACAACATGAGCCATGTCCCCACAAATTTTACTGGATTCTCACTGTTACTGCAACTCTTGACCACACAATGGGGTTTTAGGGTACTACATGTCAGAGGTGGGTGGTGATTGGCAAATGACAAAGAGTTCTGCTTTTAAAAATGACGACTTTCACGTGGACTTCTGCCTATAGTGAAGTGTCAAGTCCCCTCCGCTCTTCCAGATAAAATGTTTAACTGTTCGCAGGTCCATGTTGGGATCTAGCACCTGGATGAATCAAAAACAAAAGGTTACTAACATGAAAGAGAAGTTGTGTTCAGTGCATTCACAGAGCGTGTTGATGTGCCCACCTGGTCTTGACACATTAGCTCAATCTTCTCTTCAGCTAGCATGGCCATGTCCTCCTCCTTCTCCTGCTCCCCGGGTTTATCGTTGGCCGAGGAGCTGGTGGTCTGTGACTCGTTGTCCAAGTTGATGATCTTCTCATAAACATGTTCCATGACCTTTCTCACCTGGAGCATGTCACTGGCCGACAGTCGGTCCCTGTGCGACAAAGAAGGTATAAAAACCGGCTCTGAACATTGCAGAGCTGCACGTGACACGGATCTTTGCTGAAATACGAGAAATTACAAACTTACTTTTTTAGAGTTTTTGCACCAGAGGAAGAGTGGGGCTGGAGGTAGAACGGGATTTTGTTGAACTTGGGCATATTTTTCTGTCATGGAGAAAAAAAAAAAAGACGTGTAACTCAAACGTGAGAACAAAATTTAATTGCAAATGTCACATCACAAAGATACAAGAAAATGGTATTGCTTCATCCAGGGAAGAACAGTGATGGATCTGTAACACCGCTGAGCTTTTTTCTGGCTTAGACCGGGCCTGTTGGCGAGCAGTGCGGTGATTACGCAGCCAGGCACAGCTGGTCCGTGTACTTTAAAAGCAATGACTCTGTGTCACCTTGTTTGACACAAATGAGTTCTGACCGTGTGATAAAAATAACATGTATTAAACTTGAGTAAATAAATCACAAAGTGGTTGAAGAACTTTTTTAACGGCAATGCTGCAGAGTTCCCTCTGCTTTCTCACTGCAAGAAATCTCCTGCAATCAGGTTTCACATTTGTATCATGTTGTGATAAAGTGCACAGTCATAGCTCTTAATGTCATACCTTAGTCCCTACTGAGTATAGAGCAATTTGTGAAAGGCAAGTACACATTTTTAGTGCTCGTCGTTTCTAACTGCCTTAATGTTCACTCATTCACTAACAACTGAGTGTTAGTGGATTACTATTAGAGCAGGCAAGCTGTGCACGTCTAGTCTCTTTATACAGAACAGAGTGTTTAGTTTGAAATAAAAAGTTGGTCAGGTCACATTTGTAAACAGTAACCTGATAAATGAATAACATTTTGCTGCTTCAGGTTTTAAGGTGTTGTATATTCTGGCCACTACTGATTGAGAGAGAATCATCATTGGAGTCACAATTCTGCTTTAGTCTATAAGCAACTCAAGGAAGTACTCATTACCATCATCTGTACCAAGTATAAAACATGTTACACAAACTCAGAAGTACTGAATCTCAAATACAAACACAGGGCTATTTTTGCCTGTTTTATGCAGTTTTTAGTTCCTTCCCACACTAAAGCCGTCCAACTAGAGTATACGTATTAACACTTTGTAGTGTTTAGCAACAAAAGCAGTCATGATTTTCTTCCTCCAAGCTTCCAAACCAGTGGGCTTCAACTACTCATGCCACATTTTTAAAAAAAATCTTCTTTTAATTTTTGAATGAAATGTGCATGAAATATAGACACGAGCACTTGGGCTTTCTAATTTTAATAAATTATGTAGAGCGATGTAGACCAAAGTTAGACGAGCAGATGAAGGATGATGCCCAGGATAAAGGGCAAATAAGGGAAAGGCTTTAAAAAGGGAGCCAGCTGCTCATTTCCAGTTCCATATTTTTATTCTTGGACTAGCTTTGCATGCTCCACAGTTCAAAAATAATGCTTATTTATCTTATACTGAGTCTCGGAGCAGCCTCTCATGTCGAACATATATGAAATGAGCTGCTTAGGTTTCTTTCACACTCACTGTCAGACAACTTTCTGATGATTGGCTACCCTTTGCAAACAAGAAATGTAAAACATTAGGTGCTGTGCTGTGCTTGATTATATTTAAGATAGCCCCTCTCTTTCAAGTTATGACCCTATGATCAGCCAATAGTGTCACAGAGATTATTATCCACTGATTTTATTATGTGAAACTTTGACCAGGTTTACTATGATCAGCCACCAGTGGAACACTGCATATGACAGGATAGATGAAAAGCACAACATGCACACTTTAATAAAAGATCAACGGAAAGGAGGTTTAAAAAAAATAATAATCAGCAGAGATACTCACATCTACAGTTATATCAATAACCCACTGTGGGACTGTCTCATTGAGCAGCATGGATTCAGTCTCTCCGCCTGAATCTCTACATAGCAACCTGCAGCGTAAAAATAAAGCAGATCAAAAGAAACGCTGGACTTGTGCGACCATTTCTAATGACATGTGATGACATCACAAGGGGAAGATTTGACTTTCTAACATGACCTTAACTGACAATCTAAAAGTTTGAAAGTTTGTTGGTGAGAGCTTACCTAAAAAGGGTTCTGCCTCCCGCTTCTCCAAAGATAACTGGTGTGTGTGGTGGCACCTGGAAATATCCGTTGCCTTTCTGGACCCTGTTTTCTTGCTCTCCGTTCACTGAGGGAACAAGAACATAATCAACAAACCCGATGACATCTTGGCTTAGAATGCGCTCACTGGCACAGTTTGCAGCCAATTCATGTTTGAGGCCAAGTGGATAAAAAGACGAGGGAAACAAGACAAAGGAAAAAACATGCCCCGATGACGCTCCCCTCGGTGCAGACATTTGGCAGTTTGTGCATTCACTGGATAATTGAATCAGTCAATCAATCTCCTCACCATGGTTCACCTCGTTCTCTTCCTCGTCCATGGGGTTGATTCGGGTTCTGGGCCAGAACTCCAGCAGAGCCTGAAGCAATAGTCCGCCCAGGTTCACTGCAAAGGGGAGAAATCAGCGTTGTGTAATGCTAACTTAGACCTCTGGCTCTGCATTACGTAACCTTCATTAGTATAGAAAATGTAATCTCTTACACTTTGGATCCGATCCATCGGAACTTGAAAACCCTGCGTCCTTTGCAGACACCCAGGCAGCAAAGCAGTCACTCTCATCCAAAGTGATAGTGAGCATCTGTCGAGCACATAACCACGACAGGAATCAACCAGGAGAAGTTAGAACTCAGCTAGAAAACACTGAATGTCAAATCATGTGATGGGCTCCTGTATTACCAGGTTTGAAACTCACCCCAGTTTTCAGATCAACAGAGAACCAATTTGGCACATAGACCATCTTGAAGCGCTTTTTAATCTCTTCGTCAAATTCAACCTTCCCCAAGTCTTCGCCCTTACATGCCTACAGGTCAAATGTGAGCACAAAAGGTCATTTCAAACTACAGATATATCGACAGGTGTGCATTCCTACAATTTCACTTTAATTCACACAGATTCATCAGCTCATTCAGGTGGATGAGCCCCAATAAAACCACAGTGGAGTTCTCCGCCCCAACACCCACGCCTGGGAAACTTTCAGAAGAACTAAAGGTTCATTCGGGGTCCATCAGTTCTTCTTCCTGGACGGCAGCCCCAGGAAGATTAAAAAATAAGGCAAAATCATTCATTTCACAAACCAAAAACAACAGCTCTTCTTTATTTTACACAACTATAAAACCATTCATTCTTGTTGGGCATCACCACCCAGTTCTGCTGTATCTCCATGTTGTCATGTCTTAGAACAGTGAACATAAACAGTCTGCATTAGCAGCTTTTTTTTTTTTTTTTTAATTTTGGCTTTAAAATTTTGACATATTTGACTAATCAGTGACATTTAGTGATGCAAGCCACGCCCTGAAATCTCCTTCACTTATCCTCCCACCTATGAAGACCAATAAAGACCAAGATAAGAGCACATCCCATATCCTAATATCTTAATCATTAATGCCAGAGTGTGTGGTTTACCTTTAGGACGTCCCAGAAAGCCACATTGTTGTTGGTGTCTTTGGTGAGTATGTGTCTTTTGTCATTCAGAATGTGGCACTGAATAATACTGGCACCTCCTGCAACATCAACAGCGCTGTTAGTTAACAGAGGGAAAAGAGATTTGGAGGATTGTATACTTTCACATAAAAAAAGAAACAAAAAACAAAAGTACCCTTGATGACTTGTTCTGGCTGAGTACACAGTGGTGTCAGAGGGGTGGTGCAGTCGTTGTCATACTCTCCGGATGATCTGAAGTTGTGCATTCCCTTTAGAGACTAAACACACACCAAAAAAACAAAAACTTTTAATAATTGCTTCCCCACTCCTTGTTCTTCTCTTTTGTAATACAGAATTACAAAGCTGCTTTTAAATTTTAAATGAACTGCAGATGAATTATGGCTGAACACAGTTAGGTGTGGCCACATGAACAACCCTCTATCTATACTTCACTACATTGACAGTGGATCACTGATCTCAGAGGTGTCACGCATGCTTACCCATTTATTAACAGATGACTTGGTGGTGGAGACCCAGATTGCTGGAGGTGGGTCCGCAGATCTGTCCAGTTCCATCTGTGCAAGAAAAGGCAAAAGGCTGAATGACCCTGAGACCCATCCTTTTATATTTTCAATATTATGGTTAAATATATCCTAAAATTAACTATTACACAGGTTGTTATGCAGTTATTACAAAAATCTAGCCCTTATTTGCTGGACCCTTACTTTGAGCACTGGGGCCTTCTCCTCACAGATAAGGACACGGATGTCTGGGTTACGCAGGTCCGTACAGTAGATCTTTTTGTCTCTGCCTCCAGAATATACGTGCGTAAAGGCCTCATTGACCTGCAGGGCCCACACCCCTTCGTCGTGCACACGGTAGGTGGCGATGCACCTCTGCTGGCCGAGGGACCAAAGGCGAATGGTCCCATCTGAACTGCCTGATAGGCACTGTGGGGAGGACCGGTGACTTTTAGATTCTGAAACTCTGCTCTTTGGCAGCCACGGCATTTTAGATTATTTAACTCACCTGAGTGCCGTCTCGATTCAGCAGCAACGATTTGACGTTGTCCGTGTGACCTTTTAGCTTCATGAGCTTAGCGCATGTTCGAGGATCCCACACTCTCAGAACCTGAAGAAAGACACAAGAAGGGTAACGACAGCAGGCACTACTTCACTGTGTTTACATGCATGATAATCCTACTGGGCTAAAACAAAGCAAGGTACGCACTCAATTACACCATTCATGCATTTCCTTTATATTAGATTTTTGAAGCAGTCTTTATAGTTTATAATATCCACAGATTTGTGACAGCCTAATGGAAATGCTTTAAGGATATCTGAACAGAAACCAAAGGTCAGTGAAGAACTTGTATTATCACTTGCTTACAAATTCTTAAGAGAAGTTAGAGTTAAGTTTTCTTATAATAGTCATTTTACTAAAGCCATGTAACCTACCTACATAGAGCTGAAGACTACAAGTTAGAATATGAAAGAACTTTTTATGGGTTTTGCGTTTTAAGAAATTGGTAAAAATAAGTTAACAAGGCAATTACTAGATTATAGTGTAGTAATTCATTGTCTACTGCTCAGGTTCAAGTTTTTGAAAAAATTGAACTCAGTGAATGGAAGAAGGCTAAAAAGGCTTTGTTGAGGCCTGAGGTTTATTTGGAAATCTGTCAACTAGACAAAACTGTGAAGGTACAATTTAAGATCACAAATGATACCTGGATTACAGAGCAACGCTTAAACTATGCTATTATACATCACCCCTAAGACAATTATGAGCATTTTAGGGACCCAAACAGGACTAAGAGACGTGTAATAATCCACAGAGACCCTAAAAAGCAATTCTAATCACTGAATGAGTGATTATAATTGGTACCTGTGACGCTCCTGAGAGCTGAGTTATTGAAGCTTAGAGTCCTTTTAAAATTTATTGTAGTTAGAGAAACAGATTGTTGCTCAGTGAAGCTGTTTATGTCTCAGTATTTTCAAAAATTTAACACAACTGAAAGTTTGCATTTATTCCTTAGTGTAAACACTGGGCACTGTGTAAATCTGTCCATCTGTGTGTCACAAACCTTTTCTGTGGATCCTGATACAATAACCGTGCCCATCTGGTTCATAGCCAGACTATAGATTGAGTCCTTGTTCCCACTCAGCGATGAAGCTGTTGGAGACAAATTATAATAAGTCCAAAGGTACAGACTGACTTTGACATAAACATATCGGTCATGCTGAATACAAATTACACTCAGTACAATTCACATCTAATCTAAGCTTCTGTCCAGAGGACAGAAATGGATACTAGTGTCACACTGCAAAATCTTTACTTACTGGTGACAGTGTTGTTGGAAGCAGTGAGTGCTGTTAGTGTGTTCACATCCCAAAGAAAGATCTGCCTGTCCAGACCTGCTGATGCTACCAGCTCTTTGTCCTTAGCGTAAGCCAACGCTTTCACGTAGTCCTTATGTGTTCGTAACGTTGACATACAAAACCCTTTGTGTGCGTTCCATACTTTGACTGTCGTATCCGATGAGGCAGATATCACTGAAAGCAATTTTTTTTTAGATTAGAAACGGGGGTTTCAAAATAAAATGTTGGGTGAACTGAACAGCTTAAAAAAACTCACAAGTTTTTCCATTGCAACAGAGGACTATGTCATTAACCCAGTCTGTATGATGCTCCATCGATGCAATGTATGGGTCCTGCTACAATAACAAGAGAGGACAAGGACAGTTAAAACAGTCTTAGGCATGAGATTTGAGAAATGCATACTAAAGCAGCTGCCTTGTGTAAAATGAGTTGACTGTTTTAGCATAACGGAGCAGGGCAAGAAGCTGTACTTTGTGCTGGTAGACGCTCCATATCCGGATGATGGAGTCCCTCCCTGCAGTGAAGAGCCGGTTCAGAGCAGGGTCGAGCTGGAGTGCATTCACCCCGTTTCGATTGTACTTCTCCACCTCATCTCTAATGACATATGATACCTGGAACACAGAGAGGAGAATGGGCGCTGGGCTCAGACTCCTAATCTCGACCTGTTTTGTTTTGGCCCACACAACACACCCACCCAACACACCCACCCTTTAAGCTCTAACGCTCTAACACTTGTATAACGTGAACTTGCACTGCAAGGACCTGCAGAGTTAACGAGACAAACACAGAGCTTAACTAAATGTCACACACACTGGCATATAATGCAAACCGGTTTCAGTTTAACAACAAGGAAAGTGCATAACTTTAATGTGTATTTTTACGGCAGCTGGGCATACTGGCAATGGTTCACGACAGACCTGCCCGGACGCGTACGTTTCACTAGCAATTAGACGGAGCCCGGATACAGTAGCTAGCTTAGCTTCCGTCAACGCCGTAACAGCTTCAAACGGCAACCCAAGAGGGGTGTTATTATTTTGTACTGACAGGCGATATCTGTAGTTATCTTATAAAGTATTTTACACTTGCTCGTATGAAAAAAATGTTTGCAAAAGCATGTAATCATTTGGAAGCGACCGTTAGCACATGCCGCTAACACCTCTCGTATGCTAAGCTAGATAGGTTAGCTGGCTTGAGTCATGACACCTAACTGCAACGCTATCTTGTGCATGTGTTTTTTACTCCCTATCGGGTGTTTGTGAAGAGCATCTTTAAGCTGGAGGCCCCGATGTTGCCGTTGTCACACATTTATCAATAATGTAACGCCTCTAATTTACCTGTACTTTCCTCCGCCCAGCAGCATTTTGCCTGTGATGCGTGGCCATCTTGCATGTTGACAGTGAATTCATGTGATGCTACATCCGGAAAAAAAGAAAACATATGTACCTGGGCTTTCTGGGTAATGTTGTTCTACACTTTCCTAAACCGTTAACTTAAAAGGATTTTATTTTATTTATTTTTTTGTCTTTCCCCACCACTCACTCCTGGGGATTTGTTCACTGGCACAGTGGTGCTGTTTTGTAATAGTACACTTTGGGTATCAATCAATTTAAAAATGTAATAATCAATGTAACATAATTTATGTATTTTAAAACTAGTTTTTGTTTTTGTTTTTTTTTTTTGAAGACCTAGAATCTAAATACGTCTCTCTCTCAAGCACTTTGGGTCAACTTATATTGTTCTATGTGCTACCATAATTAAAACAGATGTGACAGTCAACACAAAAAAGGTGCAGAGACATTTTTCATAGTGCGTGTTTGATATAGCTATAATTGTTCATGAAATAATTCAGTGGGGTACATAGGGGAAAGAAAGAAAGTATTGACTCTAACCGTCTCGAGCCAATATCAATACCAGCTTTGGTATTGAAACTATCAATATTTATATCGATCCGAGTACCTGTATGGCACAGTGATTGATACTTCCGCGCAGTTTACCATGATGCACGCTGGGTAATCGTTATGGCTGTATTATTATATAATATGCAAATATAAACATCTGTTTATATGGTCGCAGAGGAGGATTAACACAAGACTGTCCAATCGTCCAATGTTCACATTATCTGGGTAAACTATTTACCAGGCTTTTTATCTTTTATTAGAATGACTTAGAAATATAAGCTTAAAATATGTCCCGCCTTCCTCTATACCTTAATGCACAAAATGTGATGTATGAATCCTGATGAGACAGTATTTGGGTCTATCAATCTGCGCAATGTTCTGAAAATAAGAATTCTTCCTGCTCCATACAAAAAAGAAAGTCTATTACCGAACACTAGAGGGGGTAATACACTATCATGAGCTGCACACGAAGTCCAAACCTCCCGGAAAGACAGAATAAAAGTCTGAGGACCGGTGGTGTGAAATCACGTCTTTTTAAGGATTCACTCATGCGAATCAGGTTTTGAATCCAAACCAAATCAGCTCACTGTAGGGTGCATGCTGTGAACTCGGGCTCTGGCTGTTCTTCACGGGTGTGCATGCCTCTGGTTGACCATTAAACCAAACAAAAGTGTTTCAAGTGTTCAAAACCCCCGTGTGAAAGGTGAGGCACGTGAAATGTTGGCTTCTCTGGTAGGAGACTGGGCGTTTCCCCCACACACTTTTTACAGAAATAAACTTTGAGTTTCTTCATAGTCCTTGGACTAAGGCATACTTGGTGATGTGGCAAAAGCACAGCGCACATTATGCCTGAGAGCGCCATGGGACGCCTATGGCGCAGTAATCCTCTGTGGCCCAGCAACCCCCCCCTTCCCCCACCCTCACTGCTCTCCTGCTCAAGGGCAAATCGAGACAGCGCAGCATCCTCCACGCTCGGCAGCCGGAGACTTTTCCTTCATGGGATGAAAACCGACGGGCCTCACGAATGGAAGGCAAGAGGACGAAGTTTTACTTACACCGCACCTGTGACAGCTTTCAAAATGTCCAAAATAGGGTGACTGCAGACCTCTGGCGCTTACCAAGAAGTCAGTTTTGACCGTTTTTCTCTGGATTCTGATGACACTTTTTCCCCCGTGGGCTTGAGTTTGGATCCACGATGAGGCGAAGTGAGCCTTGAAAAGAAAACATGGATTTTGCACGGAAGGTTTGGTTGTTTCTTCTTCTAAAACCCGAAGAACTTCATTCTGGAAACGATGCTGTAAAACTCACAGTTTCACATGTAAGTATATTCTGCACGGAATCCTCATGTGGCTGCAAAAACATATAGCAGAAAATGATTGGCACGACTTGTTGGCTGTTTGTTCTCTCCTTTTGTTTTTCATTTTTTATTGTATTCGCATAAGGGCCGTATGTTAACGGAGAAGCGCTCATTACTTCATCAAAAATAAGTGTTCAGTTTCAAAAAGCTTTAGGGTTAAGCTACATGAGGAAATTCACTTTAACGAGGTCAATGTTTCCTTTGGCTTCTTATCTCCATATGAAGTGAAAAGACACTTAATGTAATGATTATTACACGTAATTCATGACATCACAAACCACTTTAAAAAAAAAAAAAGCTCAACAATCTTCATGTTTAATGTGACTCATGTAACTTTTGATAAGTTGTAATATTCATATTTTGGGTGTTTTTTTTAAGTAATATCTGAACACTGGGAACTGGGATTCAGTTCATTATCAGCTACTGGTTTCATGAGTGGATCATTTTACCACTGTCTATATTTTTATATGTGTGTACTTTCTGTATGCTTGGCGTTTAAGCTATCTTTTGCAATTACATTGAAAGGTTTCTGCCAAAGAAGTAGGTCATCAGTTCAGGCTGTGCACCTCAGATCACAGTATGAAGCTCTGAGGGGGAGAAGGACACATAACATGGTGATGAAGAACACACAGAAGGCCCAGTTACACTAGACCCCCCAGAAAAATTTGAAAAAAGTTGGACTCATTTCTAAACTTTTTAATAATGTTTTTAGTGTAGTTTTTAATATTTCGATTGCAAAATACAGCATTATTTAAAAAAAAAAAGTAAATCCAAAGAAAGCAGTCTTAAGTTAGAAATGAGTTAACAACCAGATAGTGAGAGCTATCGCCTGATAACAACTTTCTTACCTGTTAAAACAATCTTAAAATAAAAGATGATGGAATAGATAGCAGCAGTACAAAGTCCTACTGTAGTCCCATAAAAGATGGGGGGGGACAATAGTCTTCTGTGGCTCTATAAGGAACTATGCCATGTCTAATAGTCATGTTACTCCATTCGTATAGGTTAAAGAGCTGAAGACTACAAGTTAGAATCTGAAAGAATCTGAAAAATCATCTATTGACTATTTAAGACCACAGAGCTAATACACTGTGCTGTGGACTATAGTGTAGTGATTCATACTCTACTGTTCAGGTTCAAGGTTTTAAAAACTGAACTCAGAAAATGGAAGAAGGCAAAAAAAAAAAGGCTTGGTTAAGGCATATATAGAAGGTTTATATGGAAATCTGTCAACTAGACAAAAGTGTGAGCTACAATCTAAGATCACAAACAATGGCTGGATTACAGAGCAACAAAATGTATTTAAATACATTTGTCGCATAATAATAGTTCTTCACTGCACACTCAGAAATTAAAGTACAGAAATGTACCTATAGGGGTACAATGGCTTGTCACTGGGGTGGTACCCTCTAAGGTACCGTTCTGTACCCTAAACTGTGGGTACTGATTTGTACCCTTGTAATTTGTACCTTTTTCACGTCAAACCTGTACTTTAAAGGGCAAAATTGTACCCTTAGTATAAAGTACAAAAAAGAACCCTTAAAAGGAGTACAAAAATGTCTTTCTAAAGGTTCAGTATCTACACAGATTTCCTATATTTTTCCTCTCAAGATTTGAAAAATTGAAGATAAAGTCAAAAATACTTGTCACATTTATTACCTTCTTAAATACATTGCTTAACTGTTACATACAAACTGTTATCAACAGAGTATGTGTCATAAGCTGCAAAATCAATTTCCTGTCCAGGTTTTAGCAACGTCCATTCACTGTCAACTCTAACACTGTATGAATGAAAATGGTTGTCATATAACAGAGGAATGAGAATTTTTCCACAAAAGACCCACATTGTGTCAATATTAACACAACACCTGTTCTCTGTGTTTCCTATACACATGTCGTCTGAAAGATTCATATTTTTTGAAGGAAGAACAGCAGTCACTGAGTCCACAGGTTATATCAAAATTGGCATCATGGGAATGAATAAGTCCTATGTGCTGAATAAGCTTTGTCAAACTAAAGGTTCTTCTGCCACATTTGGAGCACTGATATGGCTGAGGCATGGTGGTCAATACAGAAGATTTATTTGTCTGGTGACTGTGATTGGCAGAGGCCGGTCCTCACCCTCATCTATTTTCACAATGTACTTTTGGAGAAAAATCAGGGTGTTCTTCAGATGTTTTGGATAAGCAAGGTTGAAGACAAAATACAAGCAGAAAGAAGAGATGATTCCTTCAAAAATACACGAGCTTCTGCACACTTCACTGCCATCCAACTTCACAATGTTTGGAGCGCTTCTGGAGAACACTGGTTTCCAGTCTTCATGAAGTAGCTGAACAGTTGGATGGGGGGTTTTAGGATGAACCTTTGAAGTCAAAAGAGAAGGTAGAGGAAAGCAATATATTAGTCTCTTAACAAAAGATACATTTGTTTTCCTTTTATATAGACTAAATATTTTAATACACACACCTCTCCAAGTATGACAAAGAGATCCAGTTTCTCCTTGAAGACGTATGGCAGGAATAAAAGTGCAGCCCTTGTGTCAAGATCTGCCAAAAGAACAACAAAACACAAGATTACCCATGCATTTTATCTGGCATTTCCAGTTACCTATAAAAATTATATAAAATGGAAGCCTTGAAGTTTAAAAAAAAAAAAAAAAAAAAAAGCAAATACCCGGTAGGTCATCAGTGAGAGCTCCTCTCTTGCATCAAGGTAGAGCTGGTAGAGTGGGGTTTTCCCTTGTGTAAGGTCAATCACCTTTGCTGCAACACATGAGAGCCCTTCACGAAATCGCTGGCTTACATTACCCGTTGTTGGTTGGATCCACCCGAGTTCGTTGCACAGCTACAAGTAAAAAATTCATTTTCAGTACAAAATAACAGTGTATGAAGAAAACAAGGTCAAGGGCAAATAAAATTTACTACTATAAACATGTTAAATGTGACAGCTATTTCCAAGTTCAATCCAGCTTTCTGACTTACACCAGTAGGCATCCCTAAGAAGGGGTACTTCTTCAACACATCCTCCACAGGCATACCATTTGCAATTTCTTTCTGCCGCCAAGCAAACGTTTGCTGCACACGGTTATGAACCACCATCGTATCTGGTTGCATCTTCTGATATTGGCACTAGGGCTGGGCCATATT